GGTTTAGGGTTTAGGGCTTGGGGTTTGGGGTTTAGGGTTTAGGGTTTAGGGTTCAGGGTTCGGGGTTTAGGGCTTACAGGGTTCAGTTAGGGTGTGGAGTTTAGGGTTTAGGGTTTAGGGTTTAAAGGGTTCAAGCATGTACACGTCTGCAAGTAGGGTTCATCTTGCCACCGTAGCCTTTGCAATGACAAAATAGTCTTCGCCAAGGCTTGGGGCAAGAGCAGTCGCAAGAGCTACGTAGGCAAGGTCAAATGATGATGCCTCAGCAGCCGTGTTGATCGCCCGAGTGCGGCTTCGTGAGACGTTCCAGGATGACCCTTAGAGCCCTGTGAAAAATATTCCCAAATATGGTCCTTTAGACTCAATAAGGGAAATATAAAATATCCCAAGGGCCTACTTAGTGTTCAGATTTCAAACAACAGCTGGTTCGACCATGGCTGAGCATATTGCAGGGACAACCGGGTCAAAACCGTCCAAACAGTGGGAGCCGGGCCCCAACTCAGCCTAAAACGCCCAAAGCCCTGAAACACAAAAGAGCCTGGAGCGCCAACACCCCGAAATCCCAATGGAATTAAAAGGGCCAGAGTTTAAGGTGTAGGGCTCAGGTTGAAAGGGTTTAGAGTTTATAGGGTTTGAGCGCATGGTAAGATCCTACATGTCGCCAGCACCCATGAGCTCTATAGGCCCTTCTTCCAGCCAAAAACACGCGGCAGGTCCACTTCGTGGGGACAACGCAGCCTTTGACGTGGTACTCGACATCTCCCGATTGTATGACGTACCTGGGCTTTGGGAGGGGGGGGGGGGAGGGAGCCTAGACAAGTAACCTAGGAATTGAAACAATACAAAAAAGGCACCCTTTTTGGTCTAAAGGCCTGTAAGGGAACCTAAAGGGAATAAGGGCCTCCTCTGGGTCCTAGCGTTTCGGGTTGTAATTAGCGCTTGTGGGCTTTGAAGCTTGGGGTTACGGATTAAGTGCCATCGGGGCTGGGCTTGTCCTATGCCTGTATGTTTATGCCTAATGCATCCAGGCTGGGGTAGCGCGGGGATGCGCATTCACTAAATACACATCGTTGCATGTATGGCTACATAGAATACGAAGCAAATACTCGATATACGTATAAAAAATATAAATATAAGTGTGTATATCTATATATATATATATGGGGTACCCAAGTATGGCAATTTACACATTAACGTCACAATCAACTCTCCCAGACCTATACTTCGCTCCAAAATACTTGACTCGTAGCCGGTTCTACCCACTATTCGAGGTAGAGCCTACGAATTCTCAGTTTGGGGGTCAGCGGGCAGCCAACCCCTAAACCCTAAACCCTTTCGCCTAAACCCTAAACCCGAAACCCTAAACCCTAAACCAAATCTCCCTCCCGTCCCCTCGTCCGCCGGCCCCTCCAATTTCCCAGCATCTTGAGGATCCAGCATGGCTGTGGACTCTTCCCCGGGGCGGAAAACCACATCCTGCGTGAGGGCTTAGGGTTTCGGGTTTGGGGTTTCAGGTTTGGGGATTAGGGTGTCCTATAGGAAAAAGAGGCAGGTAGATGAATCGGCAGACGGACGGAGTACCGGCCCCAGGGCCTGGGCAAAGAGCCCCCTACTTCAGGGACCACAACCCACCACAACCTAAACCCTAAACCCGAAATCCCAAACCCTATACCCAAAGATGGGAAGGCAAGTCCTCCGGAGCGAAAGGCACAAACTTCAGCACCTCGGTTGTCAGCTTGTGGGTTTAGGGTTAAGGCGGTTCAAGGTTTGGGGATTCAGGGCTTTTGGGGGTTGGGGGTTTGTTCCAGGTTTACTGGTTTTTGCCGGCCCAAGAATCCAGGATGGCTTTCTTAATGGCAACTTTTTAGGGCTTTGGATCCAGGATTCAAGGGTCCAGGTGAGGACGTTTAGAGTCGTTCTAGAGCTAGCTAAGGTTTTCGGGCTTTGGATCTGGGGTGCGACCACCTTTCGCATTCCGGATTCTGCCATGAGGGTTTACGAGATAAGGGACCCCAATAAAGACCCCCAAGTAGTAGGATTCAATTGCGTTAAGGACCTCACTGATGTACCCCTAATTTCGGAATCCCTCACATGGGATTGGGGTCTAGAGTTCCTTTTTTGGTGTGCACGATCCATGGGTTGGCTTCTCTGTACACACTCAAAAAGCAGGGCTCACCAAACCCTACCTAGACTATGCCCTAAACCCGAAACCCGTAACCCGAAAACCCAAACCCTAAACCCTCTTTGGGGGTGGGGGGATGGGCTGGGGCGTGGCACCTTAGCTGTTTGGGGTTAGGCTCGCAGGGGCGGCAAAGGGCACACGCCTGTAGGAAAGCCCCACGGTTTGCTGTGGGTTTAAGGCTTTGAGCGTTTAGGGTTTAAGGGAGACATCTGGGGGGTAGAGAGTTTAGCGAATAATTGGCGTTTAGGGTTTAACCTGACCTAACGCCAAAGGAAGGAAGGAAATGGGGTAGCAGTGGGGTGAGGGGTAGCTTCATGG